TTTTTTTGTTTGTTTTTTTTGTTGCTGCCGTCAATCAAAACTAAACAGTCGCAATTATCTCTCATATTTTCGACTGGCGAAAGTTTAAAGCCAAATTCCAACAGGCGCAACTACAGGGTTCGCATGTTAATGAAAATAGCACTAAATCGACGTTTAATCGAAGACCCAATGCCAACTAAGAAAAAAATTTCAAAAATTATTTAAAAATTGTGTTAAGCAATTCAAAACAAATTAAGGCAATTTGTCCCGCTCCAGTGTGTAATAAGAGTTCAATTAAAGTATATTGCCCGTGATAAAAAAGTAAGCGCTACTTCATAATATAATTACCAACAATCGAAAAAATGTCTTGATTTAAGAAACTTTGGTTATACCTTTGACGATAAAATACTAGCGATAACAACTGACGTTTCGATGTCACTGACATCTTTTTCAAAGCTAAACAGAATGAGTTTGAATGAATAATATAGATTAAGTTTAGAGGTAGGTAAGCTCACACGGTAGTGTGGATACAGTGTCAGATTGAAAAATAATGGCCGTGGTTAATTAATGCTCAATATTGACTCGTAATGGCAATGATTGAGTTATGGTATTGGCGGTTCTCTTCTAATTGTGGAAACCATGGCAAACATCATTATTTTTTTACTCTTCTATGATTGGGCTTGTAAGAAAAATATACCTTTTTTTCCCGCTTGCCCAAAACCAGGATGCACTGTGAAGAAAACTACTCTGAGATATATATTTACAAGAGAATATGAAGTAAGTTTATCATCTAATTCTGCAAAGAACGTGCGTGATATGGAAATAGATCATGCCTGATATGAGGCCGTATCAGCACTTCTCATCTGCTCGCGCTGGGTATGATAGAGTTTAGAGAGAGTTTGAGTTTTTATTTGCAGAATTAAATGATAAACAACTTATCAGTAGGCTAAGCATCTGATACAGCTTTGCATTTTTATTCGTCACTTGTATTTTGAAACACCTAAAGGTTTGCCAAAATACTCCGTGACTCGTAAAAATACACAGCCGTATCAGATGCTTAGCTGACTGATAACCTCTCTCTCTMTATATATATATAGATTTTCAAGGAAAGACAATAGGAAAATAGGCAAATAGTAAGCTATTGTAAATATATTTATCTGATGCAAAATAAGTAAGATCAAATTGAATGAAAGCAGGAAAAGAATTAGCTGGCAATCAAAACATTAAATAAAATTATTGGAGTAAAAAGGGTGTTTTTTAAGCTGCTTTTTAAAAATTGCGTGTGAAGTTAGTTTTTAACTCAGTTGGGATATCATTCCAGCTTGTGACCGCTGCATAAAAATTGAATTACAAAACAGTAATTTCGACATTGAAGCAAACAGTCAATAAAAACAAGGGTTGCTTGACTAGACTTCAGATTCCTGACCTTGGCGTTGGGAAAAGAAAGCTTTGGTTGCTATAGTAACAACTATGATTATCTATTTAGGATTGATTAAAGAAAACAAATCTTCACAAATATCATAAAAAAGTCATAAAATTACGTAGAAACTGTATTACTGTATTACTGTATTAATGCTTATAATCATGCGAAATCGGAACCGAGCTGGACGCTGAATCCTGAATCCAAAAAATTGTTTAAAAATCAAAATTGTGTAAAGAAACTCAAAGGCAATTGGTCTTAAGTGTTTAAAGACTCCTCCACTACATAATGACATTACCAACACTCGAAACAATGTCAGATAGAAAAATAATGTCTGTCGTTTGGTGTGTTTGCTCTTTTACTCCGACGAAGGACTAGCGTCCGAAACGTCAGTAAGTTTTTTCATCTTTTCACGGTGTAAAATTTACTTTTTTATCATTACTGTTTCATTAGAAACACCGACGCAGCTCACACTAGTTTTTAGCTAGTTATCTCTTCTAATGGCCGTGGTTAATTTATCCTCGATATTGGCTCTTAATGCTAATTTTTAACGTCCTCACTTTTACCTACGTCATCGCAATTTTTTTTCAGGTCGACTTATATAAAACAAGACTACCATCTGTTCCATAGGCCGAAAGAAAAAGCAAATCTGTATATATCAGCCAAAGTTGTAGCTAAAAAAAGTTTTAGATATTAAGATACAAGCAATTTATTATGCTCAACAGTTAAAATGTATGGGTCCGGTATCTTTGCGCCCCATTCGAATTAAGGCCCAAACATGGCGGCAAAATCACGAAGGTTTTAAAACAAGGTTTATATAACAACCATTTCATTTTCTTCAATAACAAGAACAATAATCATGTAAATAAAGTTAACAATAATTTACTTAGATAAAAGTGTATTATTTCAACCGAATTTCCCTATTCCTAATGCTTTGAAAATGCATGACAGAATTGCGTGACAGAATTTGACTAGCAAATCTAAAACCAAACGACGATAGTAATCAATTATTTTGGTAAGCCTTTTCTTATAACGGTATTGACAAAATATCTGACAAGCAGCTAGCAGTTTTGGGATTAAACACTTTGGATTTTAGTGATGGCGTCGCGTGAAAGACAAGCGTTATGAGATTGGCTGTTCTTTCCTGATTGTGTAAAACCATGGCAACCATCATAATTTTTCTTAAAAAGAGATAGAGAATTGAGCTTTTTTATTTATTTATTTATTTATTTTTTAATTTAGCTTTTTTTTATTTATTTTTATTTTTATTTTTTTATTCTTTTATTTTTTTATTTTTTTATTTTTTTATCAAGACGCGAGTCTTCGAGCGGCGAGTTAAATATTGTTATTTATTATATAGGCATGAATGTTTTACTGGGAAATACGCCACTTGTAGTTTTCGTACAAACTACATCCGGGACCTGAGTAACATATTTTGCATATTTTCACTTATATCAGTTATTTCAGAATATCGAGGACGTCCCTTGAGATGTTTTCTGGGACCTGTTTTGGTTAACTTGCGTACTTTTTCTTTCTGGATTTGTCTATATAATTAAAAGGAAATTACACACTGGCTTGAAAATATGAAGTTTATC